ACTTTGGACCGAAGTATCTAAATAATTTATTACCGTATATTCATTTGTCTATATATCAATTCAAAAAAACTTTGAAAATTCATTTCTTAGATGTTCAAAAATGATTGTAATCTTTTATATTATCTCCATAATAGTTTTTTTTTATATTATTTTTGTGTCTATTGTAACTGTTACTTATAGTCTAACTGTATGCTTATTTTTTCTTTTTTCTAATTATGGGACGGGTGGAAGATAGCATCTGACTAACCCTTCTCCCTTTGTGTATAAAACTAGTTTTTGCACAATAAACGTTATTATTATTATATAAAAAACTCGATAAAACCTTGTTCATCCCTTGTGTGAGTTTTCAACTTTTCCTTAGATTATAGATTCACTTCATTCATTCATGATAAAATGAAAATAGTTTTCAATATCGCCCCTGTAAATGTCATCAACCATTTTCTCTCACAACCCGTCATGCTTCATTCGATTCATCGGCGAAGTTCAATAAAACTCTCTTTTTTCCAGAATACGATTACGACGTGGAATACACTCTCCCTTCTAATGGCCCGCCCCCCATTCAGGAGCCCCCAGGCGCGTTCAGTCGAGCATCGCACCATCGAGAAAACTTCAACATAGCAGTATTCTTCCTCTTTCTCATGTTGGCGTGCTACGAAGGCCCGAGGTGATGTCTGCAATCGAATTAGGAAAGTGGAAAAGTGGAGTGAGGAGGAAGGTGCACGGATAGGTAACTTTTACCATGTTCTTATTTGCCGTGTAGTTAAAGTTTGGCATTTGTTTTTGATTTCCATCAAGTCGTTGGCGTACATTTTAAACGAAAGTCATAGGTACACCTAACAAAAAGTTGAATCAGTCATATATAATTGGATAATGATAGTCACAGTTTTTTCTTCGTTGGTTCGCTTCTTTTTCGAATGTCCCGACATATGCAAAAGGAGTTTCGAAATGGGAAATATGTCAATTAGTCTACAACAAGTTCAAAAACATGACAAATAGAGATAAAGTTCCTGAAAATATGAGCGATAGCTCATTCTATTCGGAATCACCTCTTGAAACATTTTTTTCGAAGGATTTTGGTGAAGGTAAAAAATTGCAATTGTTATCAAGAAAATAAGATTTAAAAAAATGGTATTTAGTTTTTCGTTAATAACTCAAAACATATTGATATTTAGGCAATTTTGAAAAAAGCTCGTTAAAGAAGAGGAAATTTCCGAAACTCTATCTCCATTATTTATAATTTTGATTTGACGTTGAAAGTAGGGTTCCACGCGGCTGTTACGGCATGAGCGCGCTGCAGCTAAAGAGAGTTTATCAAAAGAAATAATTTTTTTATAACNAATATTAATATTTTTTGAGTTATTAACGAAAAACTAAATACCATTTTTTAAAATCTTATTTTGTTGATAACAATTGCAATTTTTCACCTGCATCAAAATCCTTCAACAAACTTTTTCTAGAGGTGATTCCGAATCGAATGAGCTATCGCTTTATCTCTATTTTTCATGTTTTTGAACTTGTTGATTAGACTAAATGTTGTTGATTGACTTCTGAAACATTCAATGTAGTACAAGGTGTTCTCTGATATTATTCGTTTGCAATATCGCCACCATTCATATCTTTCTTCAAGAAGGATAGTCAAGTATAATCCATTCATGAAGAACTATTCATAATACACTTCTCTCCATTCTGTTTATTTTGGACGCGCAGTTGGTATGTTAGTCTTTTTAAGTGAGTTGATGTAAATGTTTCAATGATAAAGACAAAATCGAGAATCGAGCTGTCATCAAATATTTATTTTTGGAAGGCGATACGCCTACTCAAATCAAAGATGAATTGGATTCTGTGTATATAAAATCTGCAACATCGTTCACCATAGTGAAATTTTGAACAGGTGAGTTTAAACGTGGCTGTAATTACCTAGAAGATTATAAACATTCTGGACCTCAAAAAACTGAAACTATTAACGGTAATGTCTTCAAAGTTCACCAAATGGTGCTAGGCGACCGCCGAATTGAAATGAGATAGATACTAGAGGTTATGAACTTGTCAAATGAACGTGTTTGTCACATATTGAATTAACATTAACGCCGTGTTTGCTCACGTTAGACAAAAAAATGTTTTTTCGGCTGGGAAAGTGATAGCTACTGTTTTTGGAATAGTCATGGAGTTATTTCAATCGATTTTCTTCAAAAAGAACAGACCATTGCAGGATCATATTACGCATCATTACTCAACACGCTATAGGCGGAACTTGCGAAAAACGGCCACATCTGCAGAAAAAAAATCCTGTGTCACAAAGACAATGCACCGTCTCACACCTCAGCGGTTGCCATGGCACGAATTACGGTTTGAACTGCTGGACCATCCGCCTTACTCACCAGCCTTGGCCCAAGTGACTTCGTTTTGTTCCCTCATCTGAAAATCGTGCTCAGAGGACAAAAATGTTCATCAAATAAAGAGGCAATCACCTTCGTTAACAATTATTTTGCAGAGATAAGAGTCGAGTACTATTTGGACGGGTTATAGAGATGGGAGAACCGCTAGGAGAAAGGTATCGAGTTGAAAGAGAACATTGTTCGGAAAATTCTGAAAAAATATTTCGTATCTTTGTTAGGTCGGAAACTTTGCACACCACCCTTGTATAAGAATATACGCTGTTTATTTGAGTTGAGAGTGAGGTTCATTGGCAATCATTTCATGTTCACCGTCTGATTTTGATCCTGTCAATTGTCTATTTCTGATCCAATCTCGACATTCATTCTCACGCAATTCACAAGGTATCAAAAATTCACCAATATAACTTCCATCACGAGAACAAGGTATCTACATCTATCTATGTTGTTAGGTTTCGTATGAGTGAGTTTATATCACAGCATATACAGTGTCACACATAAAGTTGGCGACATATGGAAGTTTTTTTATGAATAGATATAATGAAAAATTGACTTCGCAGTTATTTTGTGCTGGAAAAATTAGTAAAAAACAGCGTCTATTCTTTTGTCATGTGCTCCTCTAAACCTGTTCAATTTGACAAAGAATCAGTTTTGTTTGAGAGATTTCGAAAAATGCCAAAAAATCGTTGCTCAGTTTCCAATTTCATACCTTTGGTCGAAATTGGGACTCTCTACTGTCACTTCGACTTTTTTCATTTTTTTAATTTTTCGGATCTATCGCTCTGTCGATTCGAACGAAACAAGATTGAAATTTCATAATTTTGATGAATGCGTGACTTGGATGTCATATCCTGCCCAGAAAATACCCGTATTGGCCTGTTACCACAATAAGAAATAAATACACCTCCAGAAATTTGTCTTTGTTGTTGCAAAGTTCATCTAGTTTTTTTTTTCATTTCATTGTTGAACTGATTTGGATTTTCAATCTATGAACGTAAGATGTGGTTAAAGAGCAAATAATAACGCTTCTTGAATTAATTTCATAAATCTCATATTCTTTATTTTCGCCATTACATGTGTAAATAACTGTCACTGTGTAAATACTGTCACTTCGACTTTTTTCATTTTTTTTCATTTTTCGGTTTCATCGCTCTATCAATTCGAACGAAACAAGATTAAAATTTCATAATTTTGATGAATGCGTGACTTCGATGTCATATTTTGCCCAGAAAATACCCGTTTTGGCCTGTTACCACAAAATGAAATAAATACAGCTCCAGAAATTTGTCTTTGTTGTTGCAAAGTTCATCAATTTTTTTTTATTTCATTGCTGAACTGATTTGGATTTTCAATGTATGAACGTAAGATGTGGTTAACGAGCAAATAATAACGCTTCCTCAGTTAATTTCATAAATCTTATTTTCTTTATTTTCACCATTAGATGAGTAAATAACATTAAACCAAAATAACTATAACCAAATTGTCAGCTATAATATCCCAAGGACATTGATAACTAACGAAATAATTTTATCACAGTTTTCGAAAGCACGTTATTTGGTAACATCCCGACGCCGAAGGCGGAGGGATGTTACCTAAAATAACGTGCTTGAGGAAGTTGTGATAAAATTATGAGTTATTTATCAATGTTCGA